GAAGATTGAATAGTCTTGGCGTTCCATTCACCAAATAACACAGGTTCACTCGCATCAAGTCCAGAATGGACAGTGCACGCAGTAAGCCCAGTGAGGCGAGGTGTGATCTCAACGAAATCGCTCTTGCCTGAAGTGAGAGTGTGGTAACAGATCTCATGCTCATAGCAGAACCCAGAACCGGCACGATCAAGCATATCGTCGCCGATGCGGTCGAGTGCCTCTTCCTGAGAAGAGCGTCTCGGGACCTCATCTTTCTTCAGAGGAATGGCCACATCATGCCACGGATCTCCATCACGCCTGACCTTCGACTGATTAACCCGAAGAACGGCCCGATGAACTTCAACCAACACCATGGCACCTTCTTGTGACACAACTATACCTCTGACCCAGGTTCCTTCAGACTTCTTCTTCGACTCATCCTTGTGCCAAACGAACACGCGATCACCCTTCGAGTAAGGACCATCAGACGGCATAACTCTTCGTGCAAGGTCCTTCCGAAGGTCAAGTGATTGTCTGGCCTCTTGATGAGCCCGCATGGCAATCCTCTGGAGTTCCAGAGTGGTTCGATCCTCCTCGGCAGGTTCAGCAGAGAGCTGTTCAGGAGAACTGTTCTCAACGTCAAACAAGTCTGGTGGACGTCTTCCAGTCGCTATCTCCAAAGGAGAATAGCCTGAGACCGTAAGCTGGCAATTCCTTGCCCATGCCACCTTTTTGATTGCTTGACGAACAGTCACCTTTTCTGCATAACCTTCATCGGCCAAGGCCTTCGCCATGATGGCCCACGTGCGCTTGAAAAGACGCACAGCGGTCTCAGCTCGATTAGGCCAAGGAGTTCGCGGTCCACATGGATACGGAGTAATGCCATGGAACTTGTAATAGGACATGAACTGTGGCGTGAAAAATGCTTGATCTCCTACGATTCCCTTAGGAACGCAGTTGTTCTCCTCTGTCCATTGTCTAAAAGCTCCCAGAGTCTCTGGCGCTTCCAGGCTTGTAAGAGCCGTAGCCCACAGAAGATTTGAAGCACCATCAATGACGACCAAAGCCAAGTAGGCTTTAGTACCGAACTTGATTTCTTCATGATCAACAAAAATGAGATCACCGAAGGATGATGCTCTTAACCCTGCGATTCTGGCTCGCGGAGGCGTAGGCACCGAGGTGCTGCAAACACGACAGCCTGTGACAATGCGGTCGTACTTGTCATAGATCTCTCCTGGCAGACCAAGCATGCTGGTCCTGCGTCGAAACTGAGCAGGACTCATGTGGTAATGCTTCACATGCAACTTGTAAAGCTCAACATCATTGTTCAGATTTTCCAACATGCGCTGATACTGCGGAGAAGCCCTTGAGACCTCGTGGCCTGGCAACGGAAGCGCGATCCTCCTAGGTTCTAGCGACTGTGGCTCTGGGGCCCTCGGAGGAAGCAAATCTGCATCCCCCGGTTCGGACGGTTCGTACTCTTGAAGATCCGGATCATCCTCAGGAGCAGGAGGAGAAGGAGCCGGTTCCTTGGGTTCCTTTCCCTGTGGGAAGCTTCCCTTGGCTCGAATTCTTCTTCTCTCCGGTACCTTTCCCTGAGGAAAGCTTCCGGACGCTCCTGTGTTCTTCGAGCTGTCTTCAGGTTTACCTGTGCTAACCATATCCTCTGGGGATCCTACCTTACCACGGGTTGGATCCTTGGTCTTAGCCGGCACCGAGGTTCTACTCTCGATGCCACCAGGCAGAATCTTGAAAATGGTCTTGCCTTTCCAAGAGTCAGTGGTTCTTGTTGAAGAAGGCTCAGAAGAACGCCAGTCATCTTCTTGAGTAACGCTCTTTCCCTTGGAGAACTCCATGATCGTCTTGCGCTTGGTGTCCAGATACTCCAACGGAATAGGCACAAAACCCGCCTTGGGTTCGTACTTGACCCTTCTCATCTTCTTGTGGATGCGAATCATTTCCATGTCGGCTTCATTGATCACCCACTCATCATCCGTCGCCAAGGCGAAGTTTTTGGGTACCTCTTCCTGAGAAGAGCATCCCTCGGTCTTCTGATGGAAACCGTACTCATAGTGGGAGAAGTAGGTGAGGAAGCTCGACTTCTTATGCTTGCTGAAACGCACATTCCACATCAACTGACTTAGTTCAAGAAGGTCAAGTACCAGGTGTGAGCTCGGTGCAACCTTCAGCCTCACATCCTTGATTCCCAGCACAGGGCTGCTGAGCAAGGCCTTTTCCGGATGGAGCTCGAACTGGAAACGAAGATTGCGCATCTGAGGCAAGGACATGAGAATGGGAACATGCCCTTGTTCCACAATGTCGAACTCTGTGGATTGAACTGCAAAGTCCCGGTCGTACATGCAAATGACCAACTTCTGGTTGCATTTTGTCGACTCGGAATTGGCAAAGGTGAACTGAGAAGTGGTCTCAGCAATGGTGTACCATATGCCGCAGTTCTGATTCTTGTCACAGAACTCCATGAGGTCCTGTGCGGCCACTCTCGAAGCCATTGCTCTCGTGCATCCCAAGTCCAACACCATCGCGGTTGGCGTCAAGGGCTGAGAGATGAAGGCTTCCTCGATCTCATTGATCTTCTCTTCGGTGGCCATGAAAGAAAAGTTCGGAGTGTTGAGATGTTCAACGAAGAAGGTTGTGGCGGCTGGGGTGCCGCTCGGGGCAGCATCAGCAAGCTGGCTCTGTCCGTCTTTTCCGGACTTTCCATCTTTTCCATCCTTGCCAAACTTGCTCTTTCCTTTGCCCTTCTTTCCTTTCTTTCCTTTTCCTTTGGCTGCATAGGATTCCTCAGACTCGTACCAGGACCAGTCATCCCAGGACTGATCGTTCCACTGGTAATCTTGCCACTGTCCTTCTGCCTGCCATGCTTCTGATTCTTCGGCAAGATGAGACCTGCCTTTCTTCCTTTTGAAGAAGCGCCTTCCCTTCGATCCTTTGCCACCCTTTCCTTTGCCTTTGCGGTGGCCTTTGAATCCGCGCTTCATCTTGCGGCCTTGGAAACGCCGCTGGAACCATGAGTAGTTCTCGTCGTCGTAGACCCAGAAGGCGTCCTCATCCGCTTCGAGGAACCCTTCCGTGCCATCCTCCTCGTCCTCGACCCAGTAGCCTTCATGATTGTCAAGAAATCCTTCATCGATCACAAGGAACGTCTTCCGGCCACCGTGGCCCGAAGGAGCGAGAAGTGGGTTGTCGACGGTAGTCTTGGTCGTGCAGAAGATCTCCAGGTAGACTTCACGCAGCTCGGTCGTGGTGTAGTCAGCTAAGACTCGGTTCCGATGTGCCATCAGTGATGTCAGCACCTGCCGTTGATCCTGTGTCAGATCAGACAGGGACACAAAGATCAAGGCGACCAAGTTGGCTGTGATCGGAATGGTCCGAGCATGCTGCTCTCTGAGCCGATCGTTGGCTCTCTCCAATGCCTGAGCTGGTGTAATATCCGCTTGTTCTTCTGGAGGAGGTCCTACTATGAAAGCTCTGACCTCTGCATTGTTCGGATCCTCAATCGGTAGATAGGTATCGTTCCACGCTTCTTCCATTCTCCGAACAGAGAGTTGAAACCTGGTAATCCAACGAAGCATGTCTCCATTCCCACGGTGCATGTTCATGAACTGCTGGAAGCGGTAGAGAAAGACATTCGCTGCTCCCTTCACGAAGAGCGGCCGCAGGAAGCTCTTGAAGTACTTAACTCCGTTGTTCGGGTCCTTCAGGCGATCTCTGTCGAGAAGCCTCTTGTGGATTGCTGCTTCACCTTCTAACCGATTTCTCAAAGCTGGTCCACGCTTGTCATTGTCTAGCTCAGTAATGTCACACCAGTCATCGATCGCATCTTCATAGGCAAACCAACTGCTTCTACCATCATAAGATGGAGGTACTTTGGTGGTCACCTGGTGGAAAGCTGAAAGACGGTGTAGTTCATTGAGATGACGATGATTCGTCGCGTAAGATTCATTGCCTTGAAGGAGGTAGTCTTCATCTCCTCCATCATGCTCAAAGATAGTCGCAGAGTGGCTAGCCATCGCGCTGTTCTTGGATCGAGCCCCGGGAGAAAACTCTTCCGGTTATCTTCACCTGTGTGAAGTGTGCCGGAGAGACTCCGGCTACCTTCACTTGAGTGAAGCACACCAGGTATTCCGGTTGCCTCCACCTGTGTAGAGTGTACCGAACGGGTACCTCCACAAGTGTGAAGCTTCCCGTTTCCCGGGAGCTCCGCTACCACGTTGAGATGTAACCTGGACGTGTATCCCCTCGCTAGGCGTACAGGAACACAGGCACTCAGGTGTCTCTTTTGCTACAGGCGCACAGCTGTAGTCCACTGCACTAGACTAGAACCTTGAGCAACAAGCATGGATACATGCAAGTGATACGTGAAACAGACAGGCACCTGGATGTGTAACATTCAGTGTTTCACCCCCTCCCCCCTTCCCCCTTCCCTCGCGCCCCTCCTCCGCTCGCTGACAGGTGCGGGCTTTCTGGAGTTTTCGACGACACGGGACGGCAATGTAGCATGTTCATGTGCGTCTCAGGCTTGTTTTAGACGCCCTTTCGTTGGGATAGGCGGAGTAACGTGGTTGAAAAGGGTCTGATGCTTCCCTAATCCAAGACGCCCACGAAATCCACAGCCTCAACGGCCCATACTTAAGGCATCCCGCCGCTTGCGAGAGTCTTGGTATCCAGTGTTTCGGAATGACGACACCAAAATTCGTACTGATACTACCACTACTAGTACTACTCACAATCATCCTGCTTCGTGTTGCTATGAACATTCCTTTTACTATAAGTGCGATTCCAACTGTTACTTTTTTCCTACAAGAGCTTGCTGCAGATAGTAGCCACTCGCCGCATGCGCGTACAGCCGGGCCGAGGCGGACGACGCGCAGCGTTTCAAATAAAAATGCCCTTTAGAGCTTTGGGGGCTGCGGGCATTCCTCTCAAGCTGAGGGCAACGCCCAACTTGTTCAGGACCTGCATGGCTTTGGTCTAATGCGCGATGATGCCTTTCGCAATAGTCACGGGACCTTGCCACCGATGATGATGTTCACATCACCTTGCAACACGACGTGCATGGCCTGCACCAGCAACAGCAGGAAGTCTGCAGAATGTGGCACAAATTTGTCACGGCGTAGAGTCACTAGCAAAACTTTCTTGCACCTTGGCAGGCTTGCCTTCAGTGAGAAGCGGCTCGTTTTTCCTGAAAAGCGTAACCATGCGCATGCTCGTCTGCCTACTCTCCCTGGCCGGCTCTGACGTGCCTCCAGAACTTCTTTTGAAACAGCGCAATCAAGCGCTCGAAGCTGAAGGTGTCCTGCGGAGGATAATGCGACTGCACTACGTATGTCCGGCTGACACATACATCACATACACACTCTCGGCTCCAGGGTGGAGAAGAAGTCGAGGGTTTGAAGGGACTTGGAGATCTCCATCTTCTGTGCCTCGCACCGGCCAGGCTCTCAGCGTTTTTCCCGGTCTGTCCGGCGCTCTCTGTATGTGGGTGCTGACTTGTGCGCCTCGCTGTTGAAGGTGAGGGTATCCCTTAGACGGACCAGGCAGTACAGCGCCCTCACTTGACCAATACACATGCCGTTGCTTTCCTTAGCAGCGTGCTTCTGTCCACCCGTCTCCTTCTCCTCACAAACAGCGGCTTCGAAGTGGATGCAGGTCTTAGGATTTTACACCTGCCTCGTTCCCCTCATCAAGCTTGTCCTGCATCGCTCAAGGACCGAAGGGGGGGGCCCAAGGACTCGCGACTATCAGCGGCGACGGCCTTGTTGGCCTTCAGCTTTCCGTGCAGCTTCGCCGTTTGCAGTTTCGCTGTTTGCCTTCGATTGTAGTGCATGGTGCTCTTACCTAGATGTTTCCGATCAAGACCCATGTCGACCTACAGCAGATTCAAGGCCTTCGCTTCGCGGCGCTGTCCTTCTTCTCTTGCGGCTTTGGCTCCGGAGGTCGCGGTGGAGGAACAACAGCTGGAGTCTTCTTCCGGCCTTTCAAGTCTCACGCTTTGCACTCACTTCATTGCACTTTTGACGAACACTTCTCCAAACCCTAAACCCTAAACCCTGTCTCTGCGTAAGGTGGGGAGGCGATGCATTCAGCACAAGCGGGGCCTGCGCTGATCGCGTTGACAAACTGCACGACTCGTAACTGTGCTTTTGCAGCACGTAGGAAGGAGGGTTTCCTCGTCGTGGGCCAGGGGATCTTCAACTGTTCCAGACATTTGGAGAGATCTTGGACATCATCCTTGATGCCAGCAACTTGTCTGAACTGGGAAGATGTGAGCTTGTGCATCTGGCAGAAGGTCTTTGCCACCACGTTGTACTGATTCTCCACACATGACCGAAGCAAAACCCGAGGATCGCCAATGATTCCTGCGTCGCAAAGATCGGCAGATTCTTGCCCGTCAGACCACACTTGGACGGATCCAAAGGCCAGAAGGAATACGTGGTCTAATTCCTCGCCACTTCGACAAACTATCTCACCCGGCTCAAGAAATCTCGTCTGTAGTTGCTGAGCAACTTTGTGAACAATGGAGTCTCTGCATTGCTGAAAAACGGGGAGCTGCCGCAGGGCAGAAACTTTTGTACTCAGCGCATGAGCGGCGCAGTGGTCAATGTCGACCCTGCTCATGCCAACACTTTGCGGCTCGACATGTCTCCATCTGCAAACCTAGGGCTACCTACATCTTATGCCAACTCGCAGTATCGAATTTGCACGTCCCTCCTCATTCAAACAAGTCTTCGCTGCATGTGGTTAACACGCCCATCCCAGGATCTGCTGAAATCTCTGTGCATTGCGACTACCCGACCCCTGCGTTCACTTGAGAAGCAGACAGCGGATAGCGTGACGTCTGACTCAACACGAGCCGGCGCACAGCAATGTAACATACAAGATTGCAGAAAGCACCCGAATCCACGTGATGCCAACCCAAACTGTTCCGGCCCTTTGCGATCTAGCCACCGCCACAATTCAGGCCTGCAGTGTGTGGTCACGTCATCCAGTTTTTAAAGGAGGGCTCCCACTTACAAGCATCTAAGCAAGTATTCGAAGTCTTGTTCCGCCTTGCCCGCACGTCCGACTTCCTTGGCTTGTCCGCGCCCCTGAAGGGCCGGCTTGGTGTAAAAGCCATGCATTCCTAGTCTAGGCTCATCTCCGTGGCTGACAAGCTTTTGAAAGAATGCCGAAGCAGCCTAGTACGATCTAGGGTTTTACATCCCTGGGTCTCGTTCCCCTGTTGCTTTTACAGGATCCACCCTGAAGGCGCTGAACGCGAACCCTACAACAAGCTACATCTACATGTCTGAACGACTTCCATCGAATTGCCCTGATGCATATGTCGACGCAGAAGATCCTTGGGCCGACAAGCCGCACTCTCCGAGGAATTCAAGAATCTAAAGGTTTTGATAGCAGCTGCACACTGAGCTCTGGACCCTTTGGGAATGAGGCTTCTGCGCGCAAAGCCTGCACAGACCAGGACAGCACCTACGAAGCAGCCGTGCGCGAATTGAAACTCACCGCATGACCGGGAAGCTCGGATTCTTGCTGCCAGTTCCTGCTTCCAAGAGGTTTCCGTCTTACCTGGCCACGTCGTTTGTCTCAGGCCAGAAACTTTCTGAAGTCTCTAAGAACTTGCAGGGAGAGCCGGGAAGGCCAAAAGCCCCAGAATAAGTCGATCTCGGCATGTCACGAGCGACACAATGCTGCGCGCTCCCTGCTCACTTGACCTAGGACGGGACCCCATTCCCCCACTTGTTCGCCAGGAACTTGTCTTCACCACGCCTGGCAGCTTCTGCAGCACAGGTTCTGTGCCGTTCCGCACCGAGCTGTAAAACCGGCCTGCAACCATCTTCGATGCATTGTTCAAGTCGTTGGTGCGACCCCGTGGAAACCTGGCCCATGCGAGAAAGGTCTGCCAGATGGCCAGGGTGGTGTTTCCAGGCAGTGGCTCAGACAAGCACGAAGCCCTCTAGTGTTGGGAATTGAGCACTCGGCTTTTGCCACCACTTGCTTTAGTGAGGATCCTAGTAAAGCTGCAGAGCATTCACGGCTACTCAGCCTGGGACCTGCTACAGAAATTTCTCACTGCATGGCTTGTTGTCACACGATGCCGCCTAGGAAAACTTAGGAACTCTTAGGAATTGGTTTTCGACTTCAGCTGCGTTTACGGTGTCGCAGAAACTTCAACTGTTAGCTTTCCGTTCTGGCAATGCTGCAAAACGTCACTTGTCATAGCAACAGCAATAACACTAGTGAGACTGAAACCGCATAGTACTGAAAGGAAAGGAGCAGGAATCGGCATAGTAAACATGAGAGCAGGCGCAATCATTCACAGCGGTAGCTGCACAAAGTGCCAACAGTTCTAACCGCAATGCGGGTAAGTGTTTTGTGCTAGGACCTTCCCTCCCCGACCTTGCTCCTTGTTGAGCTGGACATTTGGTTTTCGCCAGTAGTAGTAGTAGTCGTCGTCGTAGTCGTCGTAGTCGTAGTAGCAGTAGTAGTAGTAGTAGTAGTAGTAGTAGTAGTAGTAGTAGTCGTAGTAGTAGTAGTAGTAGTAGTAGTAGTAGTAGTAGTAGTAGTAGTAGTAGTAGTAGTAGTTTAGTAGTAGTAGTAGTAGTAGTAGTAGTAGTAGTAGTAGTAGTAGTAGTAGTAGTAGTAGTAGTAGTAGTAGTAGTAGTAGTAGTAGTAGTTGCAGTAGTAGTAGTAGAAGTAGAAGTAGAAGTAGAAGTAGAAGTAGTAGTAGTAGTAATAGTAGTAGTAGCAGTAGCAGTATTAGCAGTACTACTACTCCTCCTCCTCCTGCTGCTGCTGCTGCTGCTAGAAGAAGAAGACGAAGTAGCAGCAGCAGTAGTAGTAGTAGTAGTCGTAGTCGTGGTCGTGGTCGTAGTAGTAGTAGTAGTAGCAGTAGCAGTAGTAGTAGTAGTAATAATATAGGAGAAGCAGTCGTAGTAGAAGAAGTAGTAGTAGTTGTTGTTCGTAGTTCGTAGTCCGTAGGTAGTAAGTGGTGTAGGTACTAGCCGTTGTCGTCATCGTCGCAGTTGTCGTAGCTGCCGTAGCAGTAGTAGTAGTAGTAGTCGTCGTCGTCGTAGTAGTCGTAGTAATAGTAGTAGTCGCCGTCGTTGCCGTCGTCGTCCTAGTAATAGCAGTAGCAGGACTAGTACTGATGCTAGCAGTGGCTGTTGTTGCTGCCGCGGTAGCAGTCGCGGTAGCAGGAGCAGCCGAAGCAGGATCAGGAGCATCGTCGCAGGCGTTGCAGCAGTAGAAGTAGCAGAAGCAGAATCAGCAACAGTAGCAGTGGTAGTAGTGGAAGTAGCAGTGGCTGGCAGTGGCAGTGGTAGAAGTAGGAGGAGATTAGAAAGACCACTGTCTCCGTGCAATGTGGCATACCTCCCCCATGGCCTCTGCTGGCACCAACTACTGCTGGTAGCAGAAGCCACCGTAGCGCCTGCAAGCTCTGAAACTGCTGACATCAATGCTGTCAAACCCGGAGCAAGTCTATTCCCTCTGTGTATGCGTTGGTTGACCGAGTCTCCTGCATGTTCGGACGTCTGGCTATCACTACAGTCTTCGTTATGCCTTTCACTGTTTGGGGATGTCGTCAAGTGCTCGCGAATTGGGGTGTGGACAGACATTTGCGACTGCAGGGCAATCTTGCTGAGATTTCCCGAGCAAATCCAACGAAGCTGTGCCCAGTGTCCGGTCTCACAGCTTTATCCTGCATACCCATTGGCCTGAGCCAAGGGGCTGCCATCCCCAGTCGGTGGTCCTTGTCTGCAGGACTTGCTAGGGCCTGACTCGAACGCAAAAGTGCAGCCTCGCTAAGTTGAAGTTGATTTGGACGAGCCTCGCCTGGATCAGGAGCTAGACAGTATGCGGACAGTCCGGTCAATCCGTGCCTTATCGCATTGGTCCTGCCAGTTTCCTCGGCCGTGCAAAAACACTTGTATCTTGCTCCGGGCTCTTGGATTTGATCTCGTCCATACACCGAGGTCATGGCTGTGCGCCGACCATGTTTTGCACCGCAGGACTTGTGGCATGCTACTCTGTGCAAGTGATCTCTCAGTTCTTGGCTCCGCATTCTGTCTCGCCTCTGCTCATCTTCTCCATGACTTCTCCATGTCAACCACATGCTGGGCCCGAGCTGCATACATGTAAACGCGTAAACAATGCAAGGCCGACCCACAGCCTGAATTTCAAGGTTTGCACATCCCAGTGGAGTAGTGGAAACTAGCAAAAACAGTAACAAATCCACACTTGCAGCAAGTCGTAAATCTTTGTGATGCTTGCAAGGCGCACCTTTCTTCAAAGCGTCCAGACGCAAATCGGATGTTGGCGATGCCGGCTCAGCCCTGTCTTCATAAATCCTGGCCACCGGAGCACGCTTGGATGCCTCGATGCGGACCTTGGTTGTCAGCATAGCGCAACCATGGCAGACAGCTCACGCGAAGGATGACAAACCTTCATACTGAAGCCTTGGTACCTCTGCCTGTTTGACACTGGAAACGGAAGCTTAGAGGGAGAGAGGGGTCACAAGCCGCGCCACCACAAGAGACACAGAAGCATTGATAAGACATCTTCGTAACGGAAGCACTCACACACCAAGGACCTTATCAAATTGCGAGGAGTTCGTGTCCGGGTCAGTTAGTAGACAGGCTACACTCTGTGCCAAAGCCCGTTAGCCCCGTCAAGAACTGCAACATTTCTCTTAGGTTCAGCAGTTTTGGTCCCGAGCGCTTGTCTCCCACAGCGGCTGATTCGGAAAGCACAACACAAATCACCCCCAAACCTTGAACCGGATCATTGAATGACAACAACGACAACACCAGCTACATGTAACGAGGACGACGACAAACATGATGACGGCGAAACCTATGCATGACACTTGAGAAGAGGGCCACGAAAGCTAGGGGAGAGGAAGCGTAGCTGCGAGCAATTGGGGCTGAGTAAGGCGGGGGACACATGTGACATGAGAGTACTGTCGAACACGAGGCCGAGGCGACAAGGTATGTTCGGTTCAGTTTCATGGAGTGTCAGCTGGCTGAAAGATACTTTGGATTTTCAACCCCAAATTCTGTAACCCTAAGACGTAATATTAGAAGCCAACAGGCCACATTCAGTTAACGACAAACTTCAAACACAAGCAAACTCAGGGACCTTGTGGAAGGAGGGGGGGGGGACCTGTGGGTAGGGGGGGGGGGAGCCCCCCCCCCACCTTGTCCCACGCGCCGCAACCTTAAAGGTGGGGGGGGGAGGCGGGGGGAAACCACACCTTGTCTCTTCAAAATGCTTCATGAGCGAGGTGAGGGGGGGGGCGGCCCCTCCTCCCCCCCACCCCCCCACCTTAACTCTTGGACGTCCCACCTGATAAGGTGTAAGCCCTGGTTTTGCCCTAGTGCCTTAATACAAGGTAGACCAAGTGAAAATTGCTAAAGGGCAACTCCCGCGAGCTCAACAGAGCTAGCTTTCGTGAAAACAGCAGCAATAGGCCAGCAACGCGACCGCGACCGACGACGACAACGAAACACCAATCGGCAAACGAGAGGGCGGGTTCAAGAAATAAAGAAATGTGAGCAACCACCCTTGCCCAATGAGGGAGCATCACTCAATGAGTTCGCGGGTTTAAAGACCAAGAA